TAGAAAGCATATAAAATGGGTAGGACGTAGGTGTAGTTTATGTTAAATTTCTGTTTATTTTTCATTATTTTTATTTGGTATAATAATAATTTCTAAATAAATAAATCTTATTTAGATTACGATTTACGACATGTTGGCTTAATAAATCCGCAGTTCAAACTTAAAACGATATATTTTTTGTGTAATTATGGGCCATAAAGACCGGGCAATTTTCACCAACTATCATAATATAACAAAAATATTAAAGACGTTTTAGTCATAACAATAATTTATTTTAAGTATACCAATAACAGTAGGTACCTCTCGTTTAAATGGGTTTTGTACTTTTGACTATTTTGCATTAATAATTTATCTGTTAGTTATAGGTAACTCATCAACTTATTTTTTATTAACAATTTGATAAATATTCTATTATATATACTAAACCCAATAGTTGCTGAGATATAAATTAATCAAAACCTAAAACCTAGTCACAATTTATTACATTTTTAAAGACTATTTTTGATATTATACCATGATATACCTTTATTCAAATTAATTTTTTCATTTTTTACTAAGGTTATATAGTGGGCAATTGCCAATTATTTACTATAATATTTAAATTAACTACGTTTGGTATTTTATGCAAAAATGTCTGTCTTGCGTACTTTATATATTATTATCTTGATGCGGATAAAACTACATTTTCAAATTAATTATGAAAACAGGAAAATTTTTGATTGAGTATAAAATACTAGTTATTTAAGTTTCTAAGTTAATAAATAGGAATGGATATTAATTAATTTAATATTATTATAATTTTCACTATAATTTGTTGTTACTTTCGTAATAGTGTTATTAATCTTTATTATTATTATTTTTTATTTAATAATTTTGTTATTTTTTTCTTCACGAGTTCGTGACATTTAAAATTCTATTAAGTAAAATATTATGTTATTTCTGTTTTATAATAATAATTATTATTTTGCTAAATTCAAGTCTGACTATAAAATATGTATAATGCAATTATTATAAATGGTTTTCTTCCTCCCTATCGCAAGATGATACAAGTAGAAACAAACATATAAAATTAATCCTCATTTCAGTTGAAATATATATAAGTTGGTATGTATAGTTACATTTTAAGATGGGACTTTAAATAATAATTGTATACCAAAATAAAATACAATTCCATATAAAGGTGTAGCTAAGGTCACGCAAAGACAGTTATTAATGAAGGTAATATAATATTCGTATAGATAAAAGATTAAAATCTCCCAATGCCAAAATGTAATGGTTTAAGTGATTTATCATTTTTCATGGTTTCAACTCTGTATAATATTTACGTTTATAAACGTTTAATAACAGTTTAAAATAAAACATTATTGGCTGCTGGGGGGGGAGCTACTGCAGAATACATTTATGTTGTGATATTTAATTAAAAATCAACGATAAATAATCGCTTTCAAAAAAAACAATACTGAATGTTGTAAAAACTATGACTAAATTTTTTTTCAAGCAAATCTATATGATTCATTGGATTTTGTTATAGGTACATTATGTACGCTAAGAGAAACTTAACAGGAAAATCGATAAAATTCCGTTTTTTAAATTCTTAGTAACGTGTATATACTAGGTGTAACAGAAACCCTGACAAAAAAAAAAAAAAAATGATATGCCAAAAGTTTTAAAAATTATATGGTTAGTAAATAATTTAAGAAATATACTCATGTCAGGAAATACAGAAAAAAAGATTGATATTTAAAAATTCTAAAAAGTAAAATACTTGACTTAGATAAAAGTTTTTACCATCAAAATTGTTCTTTTCATTAGATTATTAAATTGATTACTTATTTTGAATTTTTCTAAAAAAAATTTAATCAAATATTAGTTTAAATTAAATTGTAGATTTGAGCGGAGCGATGAATGTATTGATTTTACAATGATGTGTGTTTTTAAAATTTTTTTTTTTCCTTTCATCACTGTTTGGGGTGAAACTGCTTAGGTTTTCTTCAATAGTATATTGTTCGATGGGAAAATGAATCTAGTTGGTGCATTCGGGCATTACAATTTTCAATAGTTTTCAAAAGCGCCTAAATAAAAATTAAGGTTAAACGGGAAAATGTTCGTAAAATCGGTTTTTTTAAATGTACTGTTTAAAACTCAAACAATTTATTTTATTTAAAACATCGTTTTAAACAGTTTGAAACAAAAAATACAGTTTTTTTTTGTTTCTTTTTTCAAAAATGAAAAATTATACCAACTCTGTCTAGATTAACCTAAATGAAACAATATTATAAAACGTTATACTCCATCGACATATAAAATAATATGAGACCTGTATACATAATGCAAACTACTGTCTTACCGGTATCATCGTTATTTATGCAGTATACCTATATACTGTTATAATATTATGTTGTATCCACTAACTTGTTCCAATAACTAATATGTAATTCGTGTTAAGAGTGTCGAATTTGTTTATTTATTAAGAGGACGTCACACCTGCATGTGTTGTCTTACTCTTACAAATGTGCTACGTAGGAAAAACTGTTTTGGGCGGGACAACTTTAACTGTATCGTAGTGTTTACATTTTTTTGATAGCACTATAAAAAGCCCACGAGGTTACATAGAAAACAATTTTAACTTTAAATTTTTTAAGAGATTAATAATTCACTCTAATTTTTAAGCTAACGGAGCTAAACGTGTTCTGCTAAGCGTATAATTTACTATGTTACGAACTTGTAAGACGGAGACAACAAATTTCATTGTAACATCCTCTTAAACAAAATATAAAAATGCTATAGGCAGTTTACGTATCACGGCTGCGGCCACGGAAAATGCCATATTATGGCAAAATCAATCTATTTCAACTATCAAAAACCAATTATTCAGGAAAAAAGAATCTCACCCTGTATAATAGTCGTATTTCGATCATTGTTTTTAATTTGAAAGTTGAAAACTCCAGTTTTTAATTAACGCCGGAAAAATATATTTTTAAATATTCGAATTTTAAAATCGAAGTCGTATAACATTTACATTAAGTCATAGTCTTTCACATAAAAAAATAATAGTATCAAAACCTGACTATTGCGAGGCCTAAGAGTGAGGTGGCAAGTATTTTCGTCCTAAAACCCTTGGCTGCGAGTTGCGATGCACAACGCACTTTATTTTTAAACAAAAAAAACTATAAATCTCGTTTTGTCGTCCGTCAAAAATTGAAACTATCTGCGCCGTTGATTTGCGTGAAAAATGACGTGAAGGTTAGGTATGGTACCAGCAGGACACCTTGCATGATTGTAGGGATTTGATAAGTTCCCACACGAAACAGAGCAGGTAAATGGTTGCACTATATGTAAGTTACTAGGTACTGAGAAAAAAAATTCCCACGTGTAGTTCCTACACGGAGGGACGTAAATGCATTACTTTCTGTACTGTACAAATGTACAACATACCTATTATGTATAAAGTTATAAGTTATAACTATTATAACATACCTTGTCCTAACTATTTTCTAAACTTATCTTTATTACCCAACTTTATGATGTGAAATATACGATACAATCTATTATAGTTGAATTCAATACTAGTTGATTGTTAAAAATTAGAATAAAAACGTTTTTTATGCAACACAAAATTCATTTTAACCTCACCAATAACTACATATTTAGTTTGTTAGCCCTGATTCTGAATTTGTTCTAGTATCGAAGTGATGTTATTGTGTGTAAGAATATATATTTTTTGAACCTATAAGAAATAACACAATATATAAGGTTATTTTTCGTGTAAGAACTTATAGTATAGGTTATTATATTTATGTGTGAAATTACGTATTTGTGTGTCATGTAGGGACTTACATTCGCCCTGAACGCAGGTGTACGATTGTACGAACGACCTAAACTCAACGTTGGCATAAATTATAATACAGATCATCGCCGCCACAGCAGGACGGTTGCCAACACGTATGAGTCCGTCGGCGGTTGGTCACTGTCGCGCGCGGTCCTCCTAGCTATTTTATTTTCAATGCCTCAACGGTAGAAAGGGAACTTTAGTGCCTTGTGCAGACCAGCTTTTCGCTGTTGTTTTACCCATTATTGGCAGTTTCCAGAAATAACTTTTTTAACATGACGGGAAATTCTCGTCCCTTCTAGCGCGGTGTAGCCACGGGCGGGGTTTAGCAGCCGTGGGCAAAACAACTCGCGTTTTATATACCGAAGCCGCGGACCGCCGACGCTTCACAAATCCAAACAATTCTGTCAGTGACTTTATCGTTGGTAAAATAGTGATAATAATAACAACAACAACAACAAAAACAACAAAAACTACAGCAGCAACGTCGACGATTATCATATTTCGGTTTTTATACGTGTCGTATTATTAAAAAAGTTTTGATTATAATCTTGAAGAAAAATACAGTCAAACACAATATTATAAAATACTACTCCGTCCGAGTGTCGTATACACCACATAACAGGTACTTACACGTGGTTATTTAAAATGATTCATCCGGTTTAAAATGTTTATAAATTTTATTTATGGTACTTGGAATTGAATGTTCTATATTATGACTTCCCTTGGTTACACGAACGACATTTAATCCTTATTCAAATTCATCACATGCTTGCTCCAACCATATCCGTTGTAACGGTCTCCACCAATTTCAATTTTTAGCTTCTCTGTGATTCATAGTAATGGTTTGGTATACGTAGGCCACAGTATCTTCACCACATCTGCAAAAACAAGTATAGATACACGGATATAGTAAAAGGCCAGGTTCCAAGCTACAGATGAATAATTTCGAATAACCTTGTATATAATATATAATGGTGATTCTTTTAACAGCAGTATGTGATTGCATTATGTCGAAAAAGCCTACCTACCTTTTTTTAACATAAACAGTTAAAAGACGTTCAAAGATGTTTAATATCTTAAACCTTAGCACCCAGTATCATATTGTTAATAATAAAAAATATTCTATAATTTACTAATCGCTCTGTTCTGTTTCCTTGTTTCTATACAGGTGTCCAGTCCGGTGCGGGCTAGCTACGCTACCGAATCGGCAGACTCGGCGGCGCCACGTTTAGACTGCATGCTCGGCAGCCTCACAGCCGAGATGAACAGACAGGGCGTGAACACGACGCAGAAGGGATGCTGCACTGCGTGCGACAAGGCCATCGTCGGGCAGGTGATCACGGCGTTGGGCAAAACCTGGCACCCGGAACACTTCACGTGCAACCACTGTTCCCAGGAGTTGGGCACGCGCAATTTTTTCGAACGCGAAGGCCGGCCGTACTGCGAACCGGACTACCACAACCTGTTTTCGCCCAGATGCGCGTACTGCAACGGACCCATACTCGACGTAAGCACAGTGGCTTCGAAAACTGTTTTTTTCAGCCCCTTCTCGTGCATTGGGCATATTTGTGGATGGTGTGGACTGTGGGGGGACTATGATTGTCGTGAATTTAAATTTGGACTCGGGCCTTCGTAGAAAATATAGCGACGGTCGCTAAAGTTGTACGCGCCGTATAGAAAGTTCGTTTAGAGAAAGCCGTTTGCAGACCTTTTGAAAATGAAAAAAGTGCTGCAATGTTTAACCACGCCCGATCAGGTTGTTGACGGATTATGTGCGTTGGATATATTGTTATTGTATACTTCATCCACGACCCACCCCACCCACGCGTATTATACGCTTCGTCGTCTATTCATAAAAAAATCGATTCTAAGGAATATGTTTAAACATTTTCGTTAAATGGGCACATTTTAATGAAACCACATTTTTCATTCGCACAACAGTTTTTTCGCTGCTTATTCGACGATGTTTACTGTTTTACCACAGCGTTTGTTTTTAATCGGCTGCTCTATGTACTTTTTGAAAATACAATTTAAAATACTCAACTGTGGATTTTCATTTGCTTTTTTTTCCCCGGTTTTCAGAAATGTGTGACGGCCCTGGAGAAGACCTGGCACACGGAACACTTTTTCTGCGCCCAGTGCGGAAAACAGTTCGGCGAGGAAGGATTCCACGAGCGCGAAGGTCGCCCGTACTGCAAAGACGATTACTTCGACATGTTCGCTCCCAAGTGCGGTGGATGCACTCGGCCCATAATGGAGAACTACGTGTCGGCCCTGTCCACTCAATGGCATTCCAGCTGCTTCGTCTGCCGGGTAAGCAAAAGCGTTTCTAATGGCAATAAATAATAATAATAATATGAGTGATATAACGATAAAATTAATAAAATAATATTTTACGTTTTGGTTTTTATACAAGTAGGTATTGGTATTGTATATAAATATAATACTATAATATTTTTCATGGATGTGCGGGCGTGTGTATTTTTAGCCGACGGTACTTTTTTTGTTGTTTGTTTTTTGTTTTTGTAGGTTCTACGCTCTATAATATAAAGACGCGAGTATATTATTTTCACTCTATATGTGTATAATATATATGGTCGCGTCTGGCATTGGACCAGTGTGAGCTTCATAATGTATCGCTGCTATTATTATATAAATTATAATATATCATATACGTGATCTATGTACGGCGGCGGTCAAATTCAAACTATTTATCGTATAACGTATCAATCGTCATCGTCGTCGTCGTAGGTGTGCACGTGACATAATGATATAGTATATTATAGTAACCAAGATAAAACAAATAGTTATGTCACTATGTCAGAAACAATGCATTCCACCCTTCGACCTACCACCCCGTACTCGTGGTTTCCATATTTTCATATTGGCCGTTAAATTACCCCCAAAACTAAATATTACATTATGATGTATAATAATATTATATTTTACCAATGAGGATGGGTGAACCACGCTTGTAGACAGGATTTGGAGTGGTCGCCGAACATCACATAGTTGCTGACATACATAAATTTACTTTAGTAACCGCCGCGGTCTGACCCTACCCTTGGCCGCTTATTGCATGGATATATAATATTCGCTTGTAAAAACCTAACACAAGTAATATACCTAACGTTAAGATATTTATGATCTCAAAAACTAAAAAAAAAAAGCATGCAAATATTCCCAAAATTATCATAGCATCCATTGAAACAATCAAATAAATGGCATTATAACATTTTATGAATTGTATTATTACTTCAAAAAATACATACTATACCTTTTCATTTTTAATAATAAATATTAAATACCAAATCTTAAACCCATACATTTTTGATAATAATATATTATTTTTTTATACTTGAGTAAAGTTTTCTTTGAAATCTAAAACTATTAAGATCTATTATATAGAAAAAATGTCGTAAATACCTACCAAAAAAAAAATAGAAAATAGTGATGCTAAAACTAAATAAAAATGCTTCAATGCCTTACTAAACCATGGATTATAGTATGATCTGCAATGTGCACAACTAATAGAAAAAATGCATAAAAGTCATCATAAACATCTTAACTCTAATTATATAATATTATATACCTACACGAAATTATGTTGAATGTCATCGTTTTAGCATTAATCGTTTAATACACTATTGAGTTACTTGCTTACAAAAAAAAAAAAAAAACATTTTATGAAAACTCGCGACATAGGTATATAATAATATAATATATTATATATTATTATAATGTCGTAACGATTTGTATTTCGCTCGTAACAATAATATGATGTCTGTCATTCTATATTCTAACACCACGTTTCCGACTGCTTCTGCTTCGGCGGCGGTGGTAGTCTAAACGCAGCTGTCTCACAATCGGCCGCGACATTTTGTGCATTATAGGATTGCAAGCAGCCGGTCACTGGCAAATCTTTTTACGCCATCGAGGGAAAACCAGCGTGTGCGAAATGCGTCGGTGTCGATGAGGAGGATTGAATGTCCATACACTATAATATACTATGTATATATTATATATATATATAGATACTATACTTTAATATTTATATCTATGACGATGTTACATAATATTATAATATATCAACGTAGAACGTTTCATTGCGACTCGTCCGCATAATATAATGATATAATATAACATTAATATACCTACTATTGTAAAACCAAAAAAATATATAATATATAGTTAATAATTTACCTTGTTGCATGTGAAATAAACAACATTTATACCTATTATTATTATTATTATGGAAAATGTTTATTTGTTGTGGTCAAAAATTTTACTTGACACACGATCGGAATAATGTGAAGTCATCGACGATGTCCTCGAGCATAAAGAGCACCCTGCACCCCCACTGCAAAAAAAAATTAACGCTGCCAAACTTACGTCGTTTCGTCGTAATGGATGCGTGTGAGCGCATATCGAGATTTATAAAAATAATATATATTCTCAAGGCCAAAAAACATTCGTTTCTGTGAATAAAACATTCAGTCAATAACTACAGACATAATATCATTTGTTCTTGGAAGACCAACCCTCGGCCAGTAAAAAAAAAACAGTTCCAAACACTTTGTGGACGGCCTTGGCCTATACGGCTCAGTACGTATATACCTACGTATATACCTACGTATATACTCGAGTATATATATCTGAGCTTAGTTAAACGGAATGAACGGACAGTAATAAATAATTATATGGTTTTTTAAACAAAAATTGTATTATTTATACATAAAGATTGGAAAATATTTTAAAACTGTACATATAGATATGCGCTCATCATAATGCTAGCCGACATAACTCAGTTCCTTTCGAATCGAATTCTCCGTCGCTCAATTGATAAATACACCATCAACCGTGGTCGCTCTTTCTGCAAGCACCGAAACACCTATAATAATATTATTATCTATATAGTCGGTAGAAAAGATTATGCTCGTGTTTGGGGGAGGAGGGGGTGATAATTTTTAATACATAAGGTGAGGTTTAATTATGCATAGAAATGCCTCTTGAGTTTGGCATGCTGATATATATATATATATATGGGTATATATATAATTTTAGACTTTTAAAATATTCATACAGTATAATATGGTTACGTCTTATACAGAATAGGTACACACAGACCATTGAAAGCATTTTTAAATTTTCCTGAAATTTTAGGGAAGGCTCTAGGCCGCAGTCCCCTCCCCCGGGCTACGCCACTGTCTATATGTTCATCTCATTATGTAGCTATACCTATATCCATCCTACCTGTTGCCTGAAGTTTAATTAACCGAAACGGAATCGATGATGACTGGCATTATTCTCGCGTCGTGGTGCAGCGGAGCCACTACCAGGGACAGATCCAAGGCATTGACGATTGACTTCCATTGTCCATTGACTATAAATACTATATAATGTGTATATCGTATTTGGGTTGTAACAAAATTGTTGCCCCCTCCCCCACCAAATCAGTGCTCTGGATCCGTGCCTGATAACAAATTATTGTTTTCCATCATAAACCGTTGCGCTATCGCTATGATCTATGATCTACTTGCTATATCAACCCACCCACTTACCCACATTAAATTATATTATATTCTGACCTTCGCGGGCATCCGTGTATGTGTTCGCAGGACTGTCGTATGCCTTTCGTCAGTGGCCAGTTCTTCGACCACGAGAGCCAGCCCTACTGCGAGACTCACTATCACGCTAAGCGCGGGTCGCTGTGCGCCGGATGCCACAAGCCGATCGCGGGCCGTTGCATCACAGCCATGTTCAAGAAGTTCCACCCGGAGCATTTCGTGTGCGCCTTTTGCCTGAAACAGCTCAATAAGGGAACGTTTAAAGAACAAAACGAGAAACCGTACTGCCATTCGTGTTTCGAGAAGCTGTTCGGGTAGACTGGCGCAGGCGACGTTCGTCACCGCCTGATGATGTGACAACAACTATCAACAGTGGCGCGATCGACCACGTCAGATCGATATGATTATTGTATCGTATAACGATTATATTAAACTATTATATTATATAACGAGATACGATCACGCCGCCGTTGGTTTTATACAGAGCAATAGATAATAATATAATAAGTGTATTTTGTACAACAAACGAATTTACCAGACCTCGAAATAAGGCTCTCGGTTACCATCATTTAACCGCCTATACCTATATTTTATCATAATAATATTATGTTTCGAACTCCGTCTTCCCTCTGCTCTCACAAAATAGCCAATACCTTCACGCCTTAGGTATAACATAATAATATTATATCCGTTTTTCTTTACTAACACAATTTATATTTATATTATTATTATTATTATTATTATTATTTTTTAAATAATTTTTAATTCTGTACAAAAAATATTATTTTCCATATTAGTTTTGTATTGTTATGTGTTTTTTAATTATTTTTTTGCAATTAATCTGCCTATGAGCTGTAGGCATTTCATTTTACCCCATTCCAATTTTTAAAGTCATAACCACAATGTATAATAATATAATTATACTGTAACACCATTTCAGTATCATAATTAATAGTGGCATTCCACATTTTTTGGATTTGAATGTCTTAATATTTTAATGGTAATTATTGATATTTTGTAAATTGACGATAACAATTTGAAAATGTAAAAAGATATTATATATATTTTAGAAAAGTATTTTCATTGTTATTACTTATTACTTTCTTGGAAATAGGAACGTATATAAACTGTTTATAAATACTTTCTTTACTATTTAGAATTTGTGTTTTTTTTTTTCGATAACTTCGGCTCTATATAACATAATGTTAACGATTAGTTGATAGAAGGTAGCAAAAAATATTCATTTCTAATATTATTTGTTGTTTGATCATTAATTTTATCTAATTATGTGTCGTACTCAAACAGTAAAACGTGTCATAATGATTTGAGCTTTAAAAAGAAATTATATTTTTAGTTGAACACTAATTAATACTTTGCTAAAATCCACTGTGTAAAATGTACGAATTCAAATTATCAATTGTTACACTGTTAACAAACAAAAAAATAAAACATTATACCTTCCTACTCTAAGTTATCATATAATAAATACTAAATAGTCATTGTACAATTAATTAAGACATTATGTTATTATTTATTGTTGAACAATTAAAAATATTATATTAAACATAAAGAACAAGGGTACTTTAATATCAAACAAAATCATCATTATTATCAATATTTAAAAGGTGGGCAAGTGGGTGACGCTCTGCTGTACAGTAGGTTACAAGTGGTGTAAAGGATGGTGTTAAATTTGATTTATCATTGTATATACGGTGTTATAGAATTACACTCAAAACTAAAATCGAAAATAAATGCTGAAGTTGAAAATCTTTATTTCGAAATTCGATTACTTATCTTGTACACACACACACACAAAAAACACATTATTGTAAAATCATAGGTATAAATTCATGATTCTAAAAATATTAATGTTTGAATCGATACAATATTAATGCTTGATGCTTTATACCCTCAAGGGTATAATTGTTTAATAGGTCAGGTTGGCCGAGTGGTCTAGGCGCCGGACTTATGCTCTGGTCTAAGCTTCCTGACGGGAGCGTGGGTTCGAACCCCGCGCCTGATGATGTTTTTGCTTTTTTTCGTCTTTCTAGATCAGTGGTTCTTAACCTTTTTCGAATGACGAAACATTTAACATTTTACAAGATTTTCGCGGAACACAACCGTAAAATAAAATAGTAGTACATACATTTTTAATTTTTTAATATATTAAACAATGAATGTATAGCATAAAATTGTTTGCATGCCATACATGTTAGTGTTAGTCACTAAAAAATTATAAAATAATAAAAAGAGTTAAAAAAAATTTAAAAATTTGAAATCGAATACTTTGTATGAGATATTTGTGTCTGATGATTTTTACAGATATTTTCAATATCTGGCCGTATGTACGATATTGCTACTCTCATTTCCTCTTCAATATTTATCAGCCTTTCTCGTTTCTTTGTTTTGATATTCGTCAGTGTTGAAAATCCAAGCTCACATAAGTATGAGGTTGAAAATTGTAATAATATTGAAATTGCTTTTTTTTAAATTCGGTTTGAACTGAAATCCAAAATTCTTCTACTGTTATTTCGGAAAATTTTATTTTTAGAGTTCGATCTGTTGTTAGCGTTATGAATTCTTCCTCTTCTTTTAACGTAAATTCATAACTTGACATGTTGATGGTAGAAAATGGATTTCGTATCCAATCATACTTTTCAATATTCAATTCAGGAAAGGATTTCGTGATTTTTCTTCTAATAATGCTAAATGTTCTGTTATATATTCTAATTATTTCATTATTATTTTTAATTGAAGGAAACATGTCTACCGTATTTTTTTGAATTATACGCGTTCTCCAAAAAGATATTTTTTTTTTAAATGTTAACAGTTTATCCGTGGATGTAAGAATATTTTCGTTTTTACCTTGCATACCAGCATTTACGCTATTTAAATAATTAAAAATATCAGCTAAATATGCCATTTTAACACACCAAATATCGTCTGTAAGAAAAGATATAAAAACAGTGTTACCTTCGTTTTGAAAAAACATTAACAATTCATTCTTAAAGTCCAGAATTCGATTTAGAACTTTACCTCGCGATAACCGTGGGCAACGTACTAATACTAATATATTTTATAACTTTTATTAGTGCAGAAAATAAAATTGTCAATATCTATACGTATGTTATCGCAGTATGGTGGAGATTATCGTATAATATAATAATAATAATATATATTAATATATTATATAGTATACTGACACATTATATTATTCAAGAGTTAACGATAACGTTTTTGTGTACAAAAATAAACCAACAAAACCTAAAATGATTCTATTTTGAAAGAATTTAGAATTTTTTTTTCACTTTTTTTAAAATTTTGGCGGAACACTTATACGAAGTCCACGGAACACCTGTGTTCCGCGGAACACCGGTTAAGAACCACTGATCTAGATTGATCAAGTATAAAAAAAATCAATTGAAAATGCTATTTTTTTAATAAAATATTGGTAAAAATAAATTTAATTGAATAATATGTAATGCGTTCACCATAGTATACCGGCAAAGTACACATAGTACCTACACACTTAAACGATATGTAAACACGGTTAAATAAAAAAAAAAAAAACGATTGAGCTGAGAAAACTGCGAGCATTGCATTCAATTATGGACCACTGAAAAGGAGGGCGCACCCGAAACACTCAATTGTAGAGGTCCACAGTCCACGAATAACCGTGGTACCTTCCCTCTGGTTGCCACTATAAACTATTAAGTATATCAATGTATTACAGTGAAACCTCTAAATACCGGACACTCTCGGTCGCTAAAATTGGGTCGTTATTCGGGGGTTTTTGCTATTCAGAGGGTTTAGATTAGAGAAAGTATGTAGTTGGTTCCCAAGAAAATGTTCGCTATTGGGAGTAATAATATGCACACTATATCCTGTCCTAAGACCAAAGGGACGATGGACAAACTTCCATTACCTCTGACCTACTCCACCACGCTGCAATTACCCGCTTTTTTAATTTGTTTTTAAGGAACACAAACGTTTAACATAGTTTAAGATTTTTTTTTTATCAAATTTATTAACTTTAGTGTGAATATTATTATATGTAATTTGCAATTTTGCTTAATTGAACGGCCGGTGGCCTATTCTAAGTCTTTTCACTCTGTATGAGGTGGAAATGGTTTGATACTATTGGTCAGTCTAGACTAGTCGTGCTAGGCGAGGGTATTTGCTTTGTGATAGCTTGTGTCTTAGAGACTTAACTAGTTTCAGAGCTTCATCTTTTAAGAAACGAAGTGTTTGTTGAACTAAGTAGATTTCTGTTGGTTGTGATGAAGTGGTTCGTAATGCTACGTTTTGGAAGGCCTAGATCCTGGTCCACGTGTGTTGGCCAATGAGGTGTCTCCAAATCGGTGCCGCATATAGTACTATCTTCCTTAGGTAGGTATATTTTGTAGATGGATAACTTGACTGGCAGTGGGAGCGCTCTGTTACGATTTAAAATTGGATATAGTGCCGTTCGGGCTCCATACGCTTTTTGTAAGTGTTTCTTACGTGTTTTTCAAATTTTAAATTGCAATTTAGGGTCACAATTCCTAGGTCATGTAGAAGTAACTTAAATTAAACTCCCAAGTTTTGATGACAACTGTAGAAATGAATGAATGAAACATTGCGAGATAAAGAAAAGCATGTAAAATAGACCAAAATTTGTAAATTATTTCGAGTTAGAAATTCATAAAAAATTTTCTTTTTAAATCTAAGATATGAAAATGTAATACAAAATTCCTCATAAGTTTGTCTACCTTTATCAAAAAAAAAAAAATTCTACAAGAAACTCAGATTAAATTTTTATGAGCGTTTGAAATTTATATTTTTACAACATTTGATATTCACTCGATTTCTCATGTAACGTTTTTCTAATTTTGTTGTAAAAAAACGAATGACTGTAGATACTTGAAAATTTCACTGAATGTTTATATTAACATTTCCTATACACAATATAATTTTGAAAATATTTTGACTTTTTGAGCTGTTTACGGACAGTTTAAGTTTTAAATTTTTTTTATTTTTTTTTTCCATAAATATCATTAAAATGTTATTTGTTGGGTAGAATTACATACTACAGTGGCGTAGCCAGGGGGGGTTTAGGGTGTTAAAACCCTCCCCCTCAGCCGTATTTATATCAAAAATATAATGTTTATAATATAGGAATACAATCATTTGGTCGTGGTAAAATGTATTCTGTTATGCCGTATTCACACACTACTACGGTTTAAGATAAACTTAAAAATCTGAAAAGTTTGATATCAATATAAAAGTCCCTAGGTTAGCAAACAAACAAGAGCATAGAACAAATGTGATCACAGATTCGGCTGAGTCATATTATATAGTCTCTTTATATATTCCTTTTTTGGATAGTTTTAATCAACAATTGAATGACGGATCTTTAAAACACAAATCAATTTTGAGTAATTTTCTTTGTTTGGTGAAAGATAAAGAAAATAGTGATGAATGTTTTAAGGTACTTTTGAAAACCTATGAAGTTGATATTGAAGCTGATGTCCATTCAGCTTTGGGGGAATTTTCATTATGGAAACAGCAAATAAAATCAAAACCCATAACAAATGTTGTAACTGCTTTAGCCGAATATAACGCAAACATATACCTTTCAATATACACACTCTTAAATATTTTAGCTTCTTTACCAGTTACCACTGCTACTAGTGAAAGATCATTTTCAACACTTAGACGGTTGAAAACATATCTCAGGAACACAATAACTGAAAATAGACTGAACGGGTTAGCATTAATGAATATTCACCGTGATGTAAAAGTAACAGTTGAAGAAGTTATTGAAAATATGGCCAGAAAGAGTCGCCGCATTAGACTGTTATAAAACATAATATGTTATTTAATACTATTTGTAAAAAAAGAAAAAAAATTATTTTAAATAAATATTTAAAAGTTAAACGTATATTATAATTTATTTAAACAATTTATGAGTACATTTCAGGAAGTGTGAAATCCTCCACAAGTTACATTTTATTACAAAAAAAAACCCCCCCTAAAATAAATCCTGGCTACGCCACTGAGTAGAAATGAGTGAAAATTGAATGCAAAGCTCCTGATATATTGTTACAATAGCACTTGAAAAATACTAAAAATAAATAGGCACAATTTTCTTTTATAAGCATTTAAAGTTCAAATTTTGACAAAATGTATCACATTTAAAATTTAATAATAATTTTGTAGTTAAAAATTTATAAAATGTTCAACTTTTATCGCTAATGATTGAAAATTTAAAACAAGATTCTACGTAAATAGGTTATAATGGTTATATATAAATTACTTTATTCACCTTAGTATCATCAAATATACTTCGTAATATCATAGGCTGACTATAACCGTTTTCGCTCAGAATCGTTTTTCTTACACAAATGATATTATACCATTGAATTTGAATACAAATTTAATACCATCCATTATACAGTGACCTACTAGTAACCTACTGTACAGCAGAGCATCTTTTTTTGAACGTATATATGATTTGATCTGGGTATAAATATTTTATTTTTCTAACCAAATTTGCGTAATAATTTCCGTTTTTCCATAGTTTTTTTTTTCGCAGCGCTTTTAAAAACTACTAGGAATTTTAACGTCACATCCTCCCGAATGCACCAACTAGATTCACTGTCCCGTCGAACAAGATACTGAAGTTGAAAATCGAAGCATTATTTAGACTACTTATCTTGTACACAAAAAAAACACATCATTGTAAAATCAATATATTCGTTGGATACCTACTAAAAATATTAATGTTTGTATTGATACAATATTGATGCTTTATACCCTGGAGCATGTGGTCAGGTTGGCCGAGCGGTCTAAGGCGCCAGATTTAAGCTCTGGTTCCCAAACGGGAGCGTGGGTTCGAACCCCACACCTGACAAGTTTAAATTTTGCTTTTTTTTTCGTCTATAACTTAACTAGATCGATAAAGTAAAAACAAAGTTGATTAAACATGCTTTTTTTTTTTTTATAAAATATTGATAGAAATTTAATTGAAGGAGTATAATGTATAGTAGTTACTAATTTGTACACCATAGAACACCGAAAGTTGCAACGTGAAAACACGGTTGGATAAAAAAAAAAAAACTATTGCGCTTAGAAAACTGCGAGCATTGCATTCAATATGGACCACCGAAAGGAAGGCACCTGTAACACTCAATTATAGAAGTCCACAATCCACATTGTACTCAGTGGATGGAGGTAATATGGTAGTAGGGGTAGGCACTCACGAGCGAATAACCATGGCACTTTCTCCCTGGTTGCCACTATAAGCATTAAGCTATAAAGTATGTTAATGTATTACAGTGAAACCTCTAAATACCGGACACTCAAATTGTGTCGTTATTAGGAGGTGTCTGCTATTCAGAGGGTTTGGATTGGAGAAAGTTTGTAGTTGATTCCTAAGAAAATGTTCGCTATTGGGAGGTGTCGAATTGTAAAATTATTGTTTATCCATATAATTATAATATGTTGTATAGTTCTACCCAAGCCTGGGCAAGTTAATGATAATTTTTAATTGAGTTAAGTTAAGTTGATAGACAACATTTTAAAAAGTTTAAAGTATATAGGTAGTTATCCTATTTTCTTTTAACTCAGTTATGTTAAAAGTTATATGGAAACTTACAATCGACTTATGTTATGATATTTATTTATTCTTTTTAATTATAAAACCTAACTATTGTCTATTATGAAAAAAATATTTTGTATGATGTTGTGAATTAGTTTTTTTTTAACTTTTTAGTTTATTTTCTTATCAATTTATGAACTTAACTAGTTTAATTTATAGTTGAAATAACTTAGCTTTTCTCAGTTGATTTTAAAAATTCCATCAAGGTCAAAACATTTTGAAATTTTTCGTTTATATGTAAATATTACTATATCAATATAAAATAAAAATAATCCAATACAGAAACACAAACATTTCTGTTCTTTTTCTTGATAACATAATTTTGTGTGTATTAATATGTTTTATTGAGTTGTAAATTACCTATTTAATTATATATTATGCGAGTTGTAATTATAAATGATTTAAATTAAAAATTTTAAATTACAAATTGACAATTGTTATGTTTTAATGTTGTATAACTTATATTATACATGAAGGTCATCTTCACGTATTATGACATTCAATTGCTATACTTTATAAAAAAAATATATTTGTTAAATTATTAATTTGAGACGAGTATAGTTTTAATTAGTAAATAATAGTAAAGTAAAAGTAAAATGGTATACAGTGTACATTATGATAAAAGTTCAATAAAATTGTTTTTTATAATTTATAAATTAGAAACTAGAAAGACACATTCACTCTTCATGTGATTTACATAGGTACTAATTAAATAAAAATAGATTAACTTTTTTTAAACTGAGTTAAATTAATATTTGTTTCTATATTAACTTTTAACTTATCGAGTTAAATTTATAATTTGTTAACTGTTAACTGTCCTCTTAACTTAACTTAACTTGAGTTAATTATTTTCATTAACTTGCCCACCTTTGCCTCATATTACTATATAAGTATTTGTTAATTGTTTGTAAACATGCTATATCACACATTATTAATATAACCTATTATTATTAAAATATGCCGTAATGCCATGGTATGGCAAGGTACTTCCCTACTGTATACTACGGTATATTGTATGTAGGTATGTATATAATTAAGATATTTTTGTTGAACAATTCTTGTTAATGGAATTATAATTAAATTGGTTTTTTGTTTTTAGATTCTGAACGGAGCAAGGGAGCTAGTGGTTTTACAATGTTTTAGATTCTGAGTGGAACGATGAATGTATTGATTTTACAATGATGTGTGGTTTTTTTTATTTTTTTATTCTTTATTTTTTATTTATTTTTGTGTCTGTGTACACAATAAGTAGTCGAAATAATGCTTTGATTTTCAACTTCAGTATCTTGTTCGATTGGAAAGTGAATATGGTTGGTGCATTATTATTCCAGTAATTTTCAAAAGCGTCAAGAAAAACAAAAGGAAAATAAAGGGAATTTTTACGCAAAATTGAATTTGGTTTTTGGTGTAACTTCAAAACAAATAAATTACCGTAGATAATACATGGGTAGATATCATCTAAAACATATTTGCAAACATAGTCAACATGCATAGGTTTGTTCTTTAATCTCTGAGTTAAGTAGACTGAAATGTAAACTGTAAAGTAATTAATTACGATTATAATAATAAATTAAAATAATAATATTGATTTTTATGATCATATGTTAAAATAAAAATGATAAACTATGTTTCCAACAATTTTGTTTATGTTATTTTTTTTTTACATTTTTTGTAAAATGTACATAATTATTAAAAACTATAATTAGTAACAAAGACAATTGCTAAACTTATTTTCATCTCGCACATTGATTTCAATCCTATTATTCATAAATCATAATACATAATATTATATGACTGATTGTGTGAATACAATTTATAAGAACCAAGGTATTTGGTATGGTTGGTATGGAACATAAATATAAATACTATATCCGTGGTATGGAAGCATTTAAGTCAATTACCGACAGGTATTTTTAAAACATTACAAAGATATTAAGATAGATATATATTTGCGTAGATAATCTGCATAAAATATTCAGTATTATAACGAAGGTTGAAATTATTATACAAAGTTTCTAACAAATAGTTCTTATCAAAACCTACAATTTTAGCTATTTTATCTCAATTAATAAAACAATATTGAAAATAATTACAGATATACAATAGGAAATTGCACGTTAGTAACGTAGCGGGTACAGCACATATAAACTTTGTTGGCATCATCAATGAGTATAGTAAAATACCTATTGATATTTTATTAAGTATTCCAAAAATCTTGTGGACAATCTCTTAACATGGATTCTAACGTTAGCTATGTTGTAGGTTCGGTGAGACAACTTCATGTACTGTAAATCTAACTTTTATTTTAATATATTGTGTTTTTCATTCCTATGCGAGGGGACTTCATCACCATATTCCAGAAAGTTTAAGAAACCACTATTGTTTGTTATGAATGGGCTACTAGACCACAACACTTATCATGACATTTGATGCTTAATAGAAGCTAAAAAAGTAACTGTATAAGTGACCACTTTTGTTACTAGAATATCAATCAACCTTTCCCTCAATAGTCAATAGTAGTACTATAGTTGTACTTTTATAGTAGTACAATCGATAATATATCTACAAGAAAGATTATTTTATTAAAACAAAATATTTTTTATTATTTTTTAAACTTACAACAGTTTTAATTGTAGTATTTTTGTTAGGTTAAATTTGATGATTCATAACTAGGGGAATATGCATATTAAATGAATTGGAAGGAAGCAAACATCAACAGGGGAAGCTGGTTCCATACCCGATTCCCCATGTAGCGTTTAACGAATATTCGAGTTTAAAACTATAATTAGAACTTACAATTTGTTTGTAACAAAAAACTTAAAAACACATAACAAAACTGAATAGATTAAAAATAGTTGAAATTAAAATATAAAATAAAATAATATGTGAAGTATTTAAAATAACATAAGAATATAACTTAAAGACAAAAAAAACAAGGAATAGATATTTTCATGTTTATTGAAAAAAAAAACCATACATGTAATATAATTTACAATTAATATGTAAATATATATTCTTAAAAAAATGTGATAGGTAAATACGTTACACAAGTTTAATATTTTTTTTTTTTTTAAGCTGTTATCTATATTAACTTAATGTTACATTAAGCTACTAATTAATAATAAAAAAAGTGTTTAATAACCACAAAATGAGCTTGTCATTTGGGTAACACAAAAGGATGAGCCAGGTCCTTAACATGAGGTTACCTTACAAAGTGACACATTGCCGACAATGAAGTGTACTGGCTAATGTAAAAATAGAAAATCTAGCTTAATTATTATAAAACATTCAAACAAAATTGTGTTCATTTAAGTTTGATATAAACAAAATATCATAAAGAAGATAATATATATATTTTATATAAAAAAAAATTATAATAAACAATAAAAAAAAAATTGAACAGACTTATCACAACGGTACTAAAATTATATTCTCACATAGTTGGTATAAGATCGTATTTATACCTTTTGTTTAATTTAATTCAAAAATGATGGTCCCCTCCTTATTTTTTCCTCAGAGTTTACAGCTTACTGGTTGAATTAATAATTTAAAATTGTAGTTTATTAAGAGAAACATAAATTTTTCAATAAGATTTATATAAGAATAAAGTTGAATTTTTTTATTTTTGTAATTGTTATATTTAACAACAATAATAATATAAAATTATTTGAGTATGTACATGCATGACTTTTAATTCGACCAGAGGCCAGAGGTACTAACTTTTCAAGTTAAATTTAAAAAAATTAAAAGGATCAATATAATCAAGAGTACCTAAAAAAATGTATCTGAGAACTTTTTGTCGATTAAATTGTATATTATAATAGTAAATATTAGACATATTTCCTAATCTAATGTGTCAAATTAATAATAACCATCTTACATATTATAAAAACTTAAGCTACATCATAAATATAATATTACAAAAAGGAATATTTTGAGGGTTGTTTTTGAAAATAATGTAACATGCATTTTTGAATTTCAGACTTAAAAAAGACAATGAATTGACACCAATTATTCTTGTTTTTTTTTTTGTGCATGTGCATATAATGTTACGTTCCACAGACTGATCATTCCAAAACCACTCTGGACATCATAATACCGCCTCGTTTACATAGCCAGGCACTAAATATAAAATGTTTTTATAAATTTAATGTTATTACAAAAATTATAATATTATAATTAAGTCCCGTACCCAACGCCAGCTCCCAGTAGTATGGATAAAATATTGGTCAGGAACAAAGTGTACAAAACTTCTTTGGAAAAGAGGCCGTCTTTGCCGACCTTGGCGTTGCGCATACTGTATGTCTTCTTCTTGGGATGAATGAATTTCCAGTTTCTACAAGGGAAAAAAAAGTAATTATTAAAAATTCAAAAAATGATTAAAATATGATAATTTTAAAAACTATAAATTAAATATACAATTTTTAAATGGTGAGTGGATGCAAATAGTTATTTTGTAATGAAAACCATAGTGGTACACTATTTGATCTACCGATTTTATTGTTTATTGCAATATACAATTAGCAAAAAATATTAACAATTTACCAATTATTTATTATACAAAAGTTTCCACAATGGCTGCCTTCTAGTAAAAAATCCCATGTCTTAAAATGGAAAATTTTAAAATTACAAATAAAGTTAAAATTATATATGAAAGCACTTATGAACCTATATAATATGTTTACTAATCAATTAAGGTCAGTTTTTAATAATTAACAATCTTTAATTGTATTATAATAGTTTAAGCAAAAATTAAAGGCAATCAATAAATATATTGAATTTTTTTTTCACATTTTCGAATGTACGATTAAATGTATGTGTATAAATATAGATTGCACATAAGATGAAATATGACATATTTCGATTAAATTTATCATTTTAACATAAAAATTAAGTGCTTATTCTAAATGATTTACGTGTCTTTGTTATTACTCTAACCAGTCTATCCAAACAGGGGAAATATAAAATGTCTTACTTCTTCCACTTATATATGAACAAAAGTGTATATTGCCACTTATACACATTAAATAATTACAAAAAATGATTAAAATTTCAGATTTCTTTAACCTATTTGTAATATATATGATTATATATAATTACTTGGGAGGTGCCTGGTCTGGTCGGCTACTCCAATCCCAAATCCAATCAGTACTTTTATCCAAGTTGTACAATTCTCCACCCTGTAAAATCAATTACATAAACTATTATATATTTTATAACCAATTATAATTTTAAATCAAAACTAAAACCATTTGGATTTTTTTTCAGTCATTGTCTTACAATGCAGTTTATACAATATGTTCAAGTTAATCATTGATAGAGGTACCATTTAGGGTTAATATCTATAAACTTAAATAATTACTATCCATCTAAAAGAATTTAGATAACCTATTGACATAAGAAATAGATTTCAAATTATTATAAACTGAAAATGTTATGTTCTACAAACCGCTTAAACCCTATGGTTTATTATACATGGTAACTTAATATAAAAAAATGAAGGTGTTGCCATTGTATTATCTGAAGTAGCAGTGATTATGAATCATGTAATTAACACACATGACTTAATTACAAAAGTGAATCATTTTGGCATTACAAATAAACAATTTTAAATCAATATTTTAATAATATAATATAAGTGAATTTTACAATATTTTAACAGTTTCTGTTATATTTAGCTTCTAATCATTAGATTAGATTTGCTTCCATATTATTAACTATAGTTAAACATTTTACTCGCAAATTCTATTGACAATACTTACTCTGTTAGAATAATTTATGTACACTCCCCTGAGATCGTCTTCCAATTCATTGTTTGGACTGTTTGGCGGTGATTTTGGACTGAAAAATAAGAATAAAGCAGTCTATTAGAATTAAAGGATAAAATATAATTTACTGAAACAAATTAATATTATGTGTACAATATTACAAGCCACAATTATTACCTGCCCTTTATGGACGATTCTTTAGACAAGACTCTGGACGAAGAGTTGCTCTCCCTTTGTGCCTCTTTCAATAGTCTCAGATATTCTTCACCGGACGATATGAATGGCACTGGAGTAACACGGTCAGCGTTCTGGAAAGATATCGGTGATGTGCAACTCATGATGTCCACCCAAGATTCTGGAAATGGAAACAAATGAGTTGGTTATATTTTATTTTTGAAACTCCTAAGCAGAAACTAAATAAAATTATTAGACCAATATTATGTATATGTGAAACGATAATTAAAAACAAGTTGTTTTTCTCTACTAATAAACAATTAATTCAGTTTTAGCACACGGGAGATGATTTGTAAACGGATGTATGTGAGCCAACCACTGGTGAACAAGAGAGAGAGAATTATAATACCTGAGGTAACTCTGTACGAACAATATCTACAATATAAGTAAGTGCATTTGAAATCTGATCAAGCTCAGTTGTTCATTTTTTAATTTATTTATTTAATAAACTACTCAGAAAAATACGTAATTACTAACTACCAAACACAAATGATTTAATAAAATAGGTAGGTACCTACATGTAGGTGCAACTATGACGAAATTCGTATTGTCACAATTTATTATAATATATATCACAATTTACTATAGTATATATTATATACATAGCGATTAGCGATTCTTTTAAAAGTTATTTTCACTAGTTTTCTCGAAAAGAATTAACGTTTTTGAACATTTTTTTCATAATTTAAATTGTTTACTTTTTTGAGCGAAAGGATATTATATATTTAATTTTATAATATTCCAGAGCAGAATATTTTTCTAAGAATTTCAAAATATAAATATCAAATTCAAGTACAAATTTTTTTTTTTAGAATTTATTACTTTATAAAGTTTAGACGAGCGGATTAGTGGACAAATATTTTGCGGAAAATCCGAGGGAGCCATTCCACTCAACTTTGCTCATCCAAACTTTAAATACTTATAATGTTATAACTAATTATAAAATACCTATATCAGTTTGTAATTAGGTTTTTGTAGAATGAAATTTTCAGCAAAAAAAAATATTCGCATTCAGAATATATGAAATTAAAATTGTAATATAATAATATGCAGTCTATCAAAAAAGTAACAACGATCAGATAATAGAAAAATATGCTGTTTTTCAAAAACTTTATTGGTTAATGACTTCAAATTGTGTAAACAAAATATTTCTTAAAACAGGGGTTAAAGATCTCACCAACAGGCAATGCAATCCTAAATAGATGCGACACCGTAGGGCGTAGGAAGGTATCATCTATAATACATGGTTGATATCGTGTCGTCATATGTGACCGGGTAGTGGTAAAACGTGTAATGGGACATTTATTTTGTAATTCTGTATTTTGTAATGTCTATCTTTATTGTATATGAAATAAACATTACAAAATATGTTTATCGTGTGTTTGGAGACCGATTGCCGTATATGGCCGTCCCACGGTAATGCGATAGTTCCAGTAGATTGGGAGACATGCGACATAATATAATGTTATTGCAAACGCAAAAGAACCAACAATCTACCTTACCTACCTACGTATAAACTTGGTCTCGATTGCCCTCGGAAAATCAGAGAATAAAATGTTAACACTGCCCGCACCCATTATTATAATACCCGCCCAACTACAGATATCGTTTTTATTAATTAAGTTTATTTATTATATTTATTGTTCGGTTGTTATTATTATTATTGTTATTCTTCTATATTATTGGAATTTATTTTTCAAGCATACCAATATAACCACAAACGGACAAATTCTTTTTGGAAACTGTACGCAACGCTGCAGAATACTTTTTTTAAGCTAACGATTTGGCTAATTAAATAATGTTAAAAAATGCTTTGTTTTTTTAAATTAATTTATAAAATTATAAAAACGTGTGAATATTGACTTACAAATCTATTAACTAATAAAACACCCCTATACTCACCCTACTCAAGGATTATAAAGATATTACAAAATGATATCCTTTAACTATTATTATAGTAGCAGTATAATATACAATATATTATAATAAAATACAGGTAGGTACACACAATAGTGCAAAATAAAAAATATATATACAGACGAAAAAAAAACAATTTTATACGAACTCGTCCTTGCTGTATAACAACAAAATTGTTTACGACGAAAAAAATATAGGAATCAATTGGAGCGTTAAAAAATAAACTGCGAAAACAACACGCAATGACAACACCCGACCATCACCACATTGACATACCATCAAAACAGGCGGTTTTCAACCACACAAGTACCTACCACGACGTATATTATATATAACATAATATAAACTCTTATGACTATAATATATAATATATCGTGAACACACATAACCACAAGTGTCATCGTCGTCGTCGTCGTAAGCGTATAATAATATGACGAGCAGTGCGAAACTGCGACCGTATCAAATTTAGCGAAATCCACACGGAGCGGCTGCGTTAACGTCTCTATATTGTCATCTCCGCCATCGTGAACGTTACGAAAGTTCAGAGATGCGAGTCGCGTGTTACAAGATATTTATTTACAATAGTCGCGCGCTGTATATACAATACTGAACACGTAATATTATATTTTACGGTTCTTAAACGGACCACCATCTGGCATCGTCGCCGACAACAAACATTGCGTTGCGCGCGTATAACCGCGGCCAGAGGTCAACTACCACGGTATACCTATGTCGGTATATAATGATATAATATAGTTACCTATACTACGCTACGCGTCCATGTTGTATACAGCGGCAGCGAACAACAACAACAAACTGTTTACGACTTTGTAAAAACTAGAAGGTAATGGGGTGATAGTATAACCAAAATTAAAAAAAAAAAAAACCGGTATTTTTAAGAATAGTTTATTATAATTTAATTCTTTTGAAGGTAGGTAGATTATATGGAAAATAAAAATATGAAAACTAAAAAACTTAAATTAATTTTTTTTGTATTACAAGAAAATAACTAAAACCTTTTCTGTGGAAACATTATAGTTATTTTTCGTTTAAATATCCATTTTCGTCAAAATTTAAACTTCAAATAAAAATTGTAACTATATTTCCGTGATTTTTTGGTGTAGGATTGTCCACTTATGTTGAGAAACCTTAAATTCAATTTTTAATCTTTTACACAGTGAAACGAAAATAATGTCATCAATAAAAATAACCAATATAACTACTAACTAGTATACGTTATAATAATAATCGAATGTATACATTGGTTTTGTTATCACCTATCGGAAAACACCAGAATACAAGGCCCGCCAATATACAAGGTGTTCGGTTCAAGAGTTGGCAAAAAGGGCAAACGTAAACTGCACCCGAATTGTTATCTATATATATGTTAATAATCAAGTTATAATAAGATACAATTTAAGCGCTGTGCCTCGTTTGTAATATATATAAAACTTTTGACTTATTTAAGTCTTTATGATTGTGTACTTATTCATTCTCACTTTAATTCTATAGCTTTTATACAACTCATCCGAATATTTTCATGCTTTTAGAAAAGTTAAAAGAAGTTCAAATAGAAACATATCTATAACCAAATAATATAAATTAACACTTTGAATACCAAAATTCTAAAACAAAAAAAAACGCGAAACGCTATAACATTTAATTAATAAATATAATAGTGGTAAAACTCCAATTGATGAATATGTATCAATACTATTATTTTTTTGTCCCAATATTGTACTTTTTATAATATTTTTTTTAATTTTTAATTTTATTCTATTCATTATTTATATTATAATACGGCTGTAACGAATTATGTATACCTATAAATTAAAGATTGACATTTTAGATTATAGTAATTTTGTTTAATTTTGCAAAAATATACCTATTTCATTTTTTTTTATTTTTATAAGTAATATACAACCTGTACCAATAGAGGCACAATAAGGATATGGGCTATATAATTTACAATGCCATGAAACGGTTGATGGAAGAAGCCACCCAGTAATGACACTCCCTGGCAACTATTTAATTTAAAAAAATTATACGGGCGCAGTTTACATGTCACCTTTTTACATTTGATAAAAACTCTTGCGCAGTTTACAATCACCGAGCAAAAACGTTGACCGTAGGATACAGTTAAAACTCGTCTGCATTTTTCTTTAAAAACAAGTGTTTTTGTTTTGTCGAGTAAAAACAATACAATACTATACAAACAACACTTTTTCAGTACCAACATCAGTCACGATTGACAGCGCTGATAAGGTAATTTAGCAAATAACAGTACAATCATTTTAAACGCGATTATATCGTCGTTTAAAACAACACCAAATAATTTTATATAAGTAGTTGTAAGAATAGCAAATTTAACCCAACGCTGATGATGTCATTCGGATATTTTTTCGAACTACAAACAAAACATCTTTGGCTATCGAAATCGACTTGCAAGTTTTCGTGATAGTGAGCGTACAGACGTATTATATTATATAACATTTGGTTAAATCGGACACCCTGTGCACTTCATACGGTAAATCTGCAGTACGTCATACAAAACGATAAAATGTGCGCACATGCAGTGCTTTTTTTTTTATCTACAAAACAGGCGGTCTAGTTTGTAAATATAATATAATATAATATACATTACCTATATGAAAATCAGCGAGCGACTGCGGCCCGAATGATATATGACAGAGTGCGGGCTCGCCTAACTTTTTTTTTTATCTGGCACGCCTATAACTTTTTTAATCATTCTACCCACGAGTTTCGAAATTTTCGTTTATATAATATACATTATTATAAATTGCCTGTAAATATCGGTTGACCAAATACATCGATAATTATTATTTATAACATAATATTATAAATTATATATTATATACTTGGATATCGGTTTTTATCGGCAATAGTACCTACAATAGATATTATACTATATTATAATACTAGGTAGTTGAAGTCGAATTATTCATATCACGGAAAAAGCATAGTTAATTATTTACTGCACAAGTAATTATTCAAGTATTATTAACTGTAAATTATAATTACATTTGTAACAGATATACATTTAGTTCAAATTGCAAAATTAAAATGTTGTTGATTTTTAACAACATAATTATAAACTACTTTTTAACTATTATATTTATATTACTAGACTACCTATATGTAGTTACTTTATGTTGTTGTTAATTTGACTTGAACTATAGTTCA